CCCCCCCCCCCCCCCCCCCCCCCATACAAAAATTATGTATACGTCACTGAAGAAGACCATTAATGGCCGGCAATCATTGGCGTGCGCAAACTTTGTCCGCAGGGGGGGCCCTTAAAAAAAGTGAACCAAAGATTCTTATACTAAATACAGTATAATTAAATATTTTAAATTTTATAAATTATTTATTTTATTCAAAATACAAATATAAAAATAAATACTCTTTAAACTTACGCAATTTATGTCTAAGAAATCCTTATTTACATATTATTATACTATTTACAACTCCATCCTTCTGTCAACGAGAGTAAGGTTTTTAAATGCATGAATTATATCTTCAATTTTTATATTATATTCAAGTTCTGATTAGTCTGATTAATTACTAATAACTTTATTACATTTATTCACAGATATAAATTCTATACTATATAATTAAAACAGGCTTTACTTTATTCATGTAAAATGTAAAAATGTTCGCCATCTTGTATAATATAGATATACACCTAAATAAGAAAAATCCAGAGTCCACAGGGGGGCCACGGCCCACCCGGTTACCCCCGTGCGTACGTCTATACCGGCAATTTAATATTTAAAAATCTTTTTGTAAAATAAAATATATTATATGTTTAAATTACAAATAATGTTTTTATTATGTATTGTTAATCGATTAGGATTAAAAATGTACTTTGAAATAAACTGGTCGAAATTAAAAAAATAAACAATACTACATTTCCTTTAGACGTCTAAGCCGGGACATATGGACGTCCCGAAAACATTTTCGGGACAACGGGACACGAAGTCCAAAACCAGTGACAATCCCGGTTTTCCGGGACGTATGGCAACCCTATGGTAGATAGTAAGATAGATTGTAAGATAGTAAGATGGCTGAGTCCAGGGAATGTTTGAAATATTTTTTTTCATTGAAAAGTGAAATTTTTGAATTTTTTAAATCTAAAAGTATTGGTCAATAGTTTTATGAAGACTTACAAAGTATTTAATTCGTGAAGTCTCTGCTTTTCTCGCTGATTTGACATCTCAATTAAATATTTTAAATTTAAAACTGTAAGGAAGAGGACAAAATATATATCAACTTTATAGTAATATTGAAGGTTTTAGGAAAAAATTAGAAATATTTAAAACGCATCAGAAAACAATGACACTATATATTTTCCATCATTTCAAGAAATTAAAAAAATCGAAAATCAATCAGCTTGCTTTATTGAATTTAAAAAAAATAATCACAGAACTAATAACATAATTTAATGGGTATAGTACATTTCGCCGCGACCGTTTCACAGCCGTTAATTTCGCCGCGATCGTATCTCCACTATTCTATTTTTTTCCGTATAACATCAATAAAAAAAATTGGTTGCCTTTGAAATTTTGATACAATATTTGTCACACATTGTTTAGGTTCGTGTGAAAAAATTTCAAAAATCCGCAGTCACAATTTTTAAATATTAATAAGCGTTTGAATTTGGAAGGTTGATAAAAATCACGAAATCTGCCTATTTTTGGTAGTTAAAAGCAATGGTGTAGAGGGGTAAACGGCGTATACCCACTTCTTTGTTTATCTGTTGGTGCGTATACTTATAGGAAGCTATCTGATACGCGGGTATACGGCGTATACGCACTTCTCTGTTATTCTGTTACATATTAATAATTTTTTTTATTAAATATATGATAATTAATAAATTGACGTATACAATAAAATTATCATTAAATTGATAATATTGTTGATAATACAGTAAATATGTTAAAAATAACTGATCGACACCACGATGATAATGTTAACGAAGAGTGTAATTTATTGTCGTGCTCACCGACATATTACGGAATTCCCAACGACCCATATTATCTAACATCTATAATTATAGATCATTTTGGAGTTCATTGTTAATATAAAACAACACTGTGCCAACGAATACACGATATTTATATCTGTAGGCTTGTACACTATTCACTTAAATTTTAATTGACATATATTGAATAAAATCAAAAATGAGTTAAATTTTAAAGTTTTTTAAACCCATTGATATGGATTCAGACAAATCGTCCGTAGACAGTCCACCAACAAAAAAATAAAATGTGAGTAATGTTGTTTACATGAGTTGTTACCATCTACATAATTATTTATTTAATTTTATATTATATATTATAATATACCGATACCGCTGGTGCGGACTTAAAGGGGGGGTATGTGTACTTTTATACAATTTAATAATAATAATAATTAAAAGATTTAAATATTTTATTGGAGTTTGAAAAAATTTTTTTATTGTTATTTAAAGTGAAGGATCGTTTTTATTTTTATTTTATGTATGATAATTTTTAAAATTGATGATAAAATTTATTATATAATATTAAAGAATTGTAAATTTTATTTTACCGTTAAAAAAAAAAAGTAAAGTTCATCTTAACATTTTGATAATCGAAATTGTATTTTATTGTAAATTTATTATTCTTTATAAATAAATATATGTAATATGATATATATTTACGTACGATCAGTGGCGTAGCTAGGATTTTCTGAAGAGGGGTGTTAATTATAATTATTAAATATTATATATAATACGTACGTACTAAAACTTTAATTTTAATTAATTAATATGTATACATAATGTCTGTAATAGAGATGTAATGTACATTCGAATTCAGATAACTTTACCATAAATTATTCGAATATTTGACTATTTGAATATCAGTATTTGATATTATATTTTACACAATCTTAGTAGGTACTTAACAAATTAATAATAATTCTATATGAACTTTGTAAGTATCTATTTTATTGGTTATAACTTAACATATTTGTTTATTCTAAATTTGTGTTTTAATATTTAAGTATAAAGGCACTAGACACCAGTACAAAAGCCAGTTATATCCAAATTTACAATTTTTTGGGTGACAAAAAAGCTTCCTACTTTTTTTTTTGATAAACTATTAGGAAATGTAAAAGTGGTAGTATATTTATTTGGAATCAATACAATTTAATATGATAAATAAAATTAGCATTTTTTAAATAGTCAAGACAATGTTTCAACTAATTACCAAATTTGCCGTTTTTTATGATGACAAATATTCATAATGGCGTTATGTACATTTTAGTAAAAATAATATAACTGAGTATTGCACTGACTTTTGAAAAAACAACCTTTGTTGTAGGTGTCTACAATTTAAATAGTAGCTATAAGTCAGTCCCTAAAATATAAAACTGATAAAAATAAAAATATCTACTATCAATAAGAATGTGTTATAATAATAAGATTACAATATGTAACAACACAAAATATTATTTACTGTGTGTTTATGTAGAATGTAGATAATAATTAAAATGAAGTTTGGAAAAAATCCATTAAAACATTAAAAACATGTTAAGCTATAATATTATTATAAAGGTTTAATTTGAATAGCACACTTTTAAATTTCGTACTACACACAATTTTAGGGACTGCTATTAGTTATAAAATAATGAAAATTATACTTTTTTTTAAATTTAATGTATAGCCGTTTAGGTAAGTATTAGATAGTAATAATCAGAGCTCGGGACTTATAGCCTTTAAAATCATCAAAATAAGCGCTAAAAAAAGAACTTGAATACATCATACAAATCGTATATTTTTAGAGTAGCTTACGTAGATAATTTTTCTTTTCCCATCCTAAATTAATTTAAATATTCGGACACAAACGATGACAAGAGAAATACAATGATAGTGAACAAAAATAAACTACTGAACTCTAAAATCAAAATATTATTTCTATTGATCACGCCAATACGCCACATATAATAATTTCATTTATAATTTTAGAAAAAAGTACAATGGCCTGTGTGGTCACTTGAGCAATGGCTTGAAAGAAAACAAAACATCCCTGGTTAATTTATTTGAAAGAAAAGTTGGATTGTATTTTTTGTTAAGAAGCTGGTTATTTGAAAACTTATAAAAAACAAGGTGTAGAACTTTCAAAAAAAATGTCTTGTTTGGTTGATAGTGGTTATCATCTAAATAAGAAAACACGATTAGCCACTCTTTGAAATAAGATTAAGAGACATGCTGAATCTAGTGCTCATACTTTTGCCTGTAGTATTAAAAAAGATAAAGAGTCAGAAGCGATAACCAAGAGCTTTGAAGATCAACTTAATAGAAATGAAGATTCAATTGAATGTGTTTTTTGCACTGCATACTATATACCAAATCACAATAGGCCTTTTGAAAACCGTTCAAAGCTTGTAGAATTGCAAAAATGTAACGGTGTGTACTTAGGTTCAATTTTGCATTCTAGGTATTCGTGTACTTCTATTGTAAGTCATATTGCATGCAAAATGAGAGAAGTTGTTATAAAAAAAAATAATCGATTCTGAGTCTAAGATTTCTGTTTTAATTGATGAATCAACAACAGTTAGCTCAAAATCATGTATGA